TAGAGGCTTAGCGACCACAGCCCTGGTCTCCAAGGCCCACCCCACATTTCTCTTCTGGGTATTTTCCGCCTGTGTCATGTGCATTTGTTCCTCGGCAAGCTAAGTGGGTGTGGTACCGTCAAGGTTCCTGCCGCCAGGAATCAAGTGTGAGTTCCATCCTGCCAAACTGCACCCATTAAAGGCAGCTAGGCGGTCACACCAGGCCACCCACTGGGGAGAGGCCAGGTCCTTGTGTTCTTACCTCTGTAGAAATGGCCTTCCTTTCCACCACTCACCTCTCCCCCATCCAGCATGAAGTATTTGCTTGTGCTCCGTTCAGCTGACCTTCCACCCAGAGTAGGGCCTTCCTTAAAGGCTACTTCCCTTGAGACAGACAGCAGGCTCAGGCTTCTGCTGGGGCAGCAGTGGGGATACCGTTGTCCCAAGTGTTGGGCTACAGCTTTTTCTGGATTCTCAAGATGTGTGGCCTGCGGCGCCTGTGTCTTCTACGAACCTTCGTTCTCCCTTAGTGGACATTGCTGCCAGGTTCCCTGCTTCACCTCTCCAGCCTGCTACACTTGCTTTCCGCCTTCCTAGAGTCTACCCAGCTGTCTAGCCTGCCGCTGCCTTTCTTAGTGTCCAGCTAGATGCCGTGTCATTCATAAACATACAGGGGGCGTGCACCTCTTTTCTGTCCTTGCAGCTGGGAGGGACACCAACATGGAGCCCAGGCTGCCCCCGGAACTTATTTCCCTCCTCTCAGCATCCTCATACTTGAATAATTATAGTGGATGGGGCTAGGGAGATGGCTCAGCCATTAAGAGCACTGACTACTCTTCCATAGAACCTGGGTTCAAATCCCAATGCCCACATGGTGTACTGTAACTCCAGTTCTAAGGGATCCAGTGCCTTCTGGTCTCCATGGGTACCAGGAATGCAAGTGGTGCACAAACATACATGTTGGCAAGACACCTGTGTGTCTCCTCATTTCCTTTATGAAAAATAGCACCGCACCCAGGTCTTCTTAAGTTCAGCGTTCAAGGATGTCGCTAAGTGCTTTTCCATCTGACTCCCATTGTCTGCCATTCACCTTGTGACTTAAATCAGGAATGCAGGCGTGATGGTAACTGATGACTCACGTCTTAGCACGTCCCAGGGCAGGTGGGAAGGCTTGAGAAGTCAGCCAAAGCCACCAGTCTCTGTGCCAGTATCCCCGCTGTCCACATCCCTGACGATAAACGCCAACTTAACCCCAGGTGCTGAGTTACCCTTTTTTGCAGATGGCAACAGAGTCCCTGGAAATCCTGGGTTCCCCTCAGGTTGTACAGGGATCAGTGATGGGTAATTGAGGAAAATCTACTCAGGGCTTCAACAGGACTGGAGTGTTTGTAGCATAGAGCCAGGCATTCCTCACCGGCCTGTGTAAGTCCTCATCAAGAGCAGAAAGGGACCGTCAGTAGGGTGGCAATCCTGGAACATCCTTAGAAGAACAGCAAACTACAGCGTGGCTGTTTTCAAAGAGACCTATTGAGCTGATGGTTTGAAAGTGTTTCAGCACAAACCTTGTTAAGGCAGAGGGCAGGCCATGCCACGTCCTTGTCACCATACGGTCCGTGATGTGATGCTGCCATCGCGTCCCATTTTACAGATGAGAAACATGTGGCTGGGAGAAGAGGAGCCAGCTGCCGCTGGCTGGCGGGGCTGGGTGAAAACGCCTGTTATCCTCCTTACTTATTCTTGCTTGACATGTGTGTTCACCCCTGTCCCCTATCCCGGGGGACGAAGGCCTTCATGGTAGGGGGGCGAAGGCCTGACTTTATTTCAGACCTAACTTCTGGTGAAGAGAGTCATAGGATCTCAAGCTGCTCCTGCCGGCATCAAGGCAAACTGGCTAGACGCAACCTTCCGCTATCACCGTCACCCCCGTCGCTGCACCCTGCGTATCATTGGCCAGACCCTGAACATCATCAGCTACTTTTAAACTTGGGGGTTTGGGGGAGTCACAACATACTTTTCTTGTGCTTAAAATTCTGCCTGAGATGCTCGTCCCTGAGATGCTCGTCCCCCTGTTTACCTGTGCTTGGGGTGCCTCCATGACGAGCTGATTTGTTTTCTATTCTGGGAACAGGTGCTATTGACTTTGGCACCGGCTGGTGAGGAGCAGTAGCATGGCTGCTTCCAGTCATGTGGGAGAGGTGGGCAGCCGTGACCTGGAGAGTGGCCATGGGGGACAGTAAGAGGCCTGAGGCTGTGGCACAGTCTGCCAGAAGTCTAGAAGATAGGTGATTTCACCTCCGTTTTCCTCTCGAGTCCACTTTCTTATTACTGTTTGCGGGGAGGGACATGTGCAAGCTTGCAACTCTTGACAAGCCTCTCCTCCCAGAACCTCAGTTTCCTTTTCTCAGTCAGGGACCAGTAACCGCATTCACTTCAGAAGGCTACTTCAAGACCTGAGTGAGATGCGCTCAGCCTAGCAGTAGGCCAAACAGATGTACAGTCAATGTGGGTGAGATAGAAGGCAAGCTCCTGCCTCTGGATCAGTGAGTGTGCTTTCTAGTATTGTCGCTTACCAGCCGTGCTTCCTTAGGTAAAGGGCTTGTTCACTCTGTTTCAGCTTCTGCTGAAAATGGAGATGATAATCATAATATTCATTGCCTCCAGGGGTTCACATGAATTGAGCCCCACCCAAAAGAGCGTAGGGTGAGTTGGACACATAATAATCTTTCAGGAAAAAGCAGCTACAAACATATCTTATACCTTCGAATCCCTGCTAAAGTAACCAGCCAGGTGCAGAAGGCAGAGGGATTCGAATAGAGGCTTGATTGACAGGCCAGGGCAACATGTGGACTGGCAGTGTGAGGGCCAAGGGGCAGGGAGGGTTGAAGGTGCTACTGTGTAGGGGGTGGGAAGCTTATGAGGGTCAGGTCAGATCAGGATGCATGGCCCCGGTCCCCTGGCTGGCCTCATTTTGTTTGAGGATCAAAAGATAAGGAGGAAGTCAAGCTACTGGTGCTGAGCCTGGCCTCACCAGAGGATAGCAAGATGCATCCTTGGCCATAGCTTCTGACACTCATGCCAAGTCCCACTTGGCTTCTGATGGTGGCCCATTCGAACTACATCTCTAACAAAAGTTCCCTTGGAACCCCAGCTGCCATTGTCCCCATCCCTCCTGATACCATTCCCATACGGCTGACACCTTTGTATTTGTTACTAAGGATTTGACCATGCCTTAGGATGCTTTCAAAAGTCTTACCTATGCCATTACCAAAAGAACACTGAGCTGCAAGGCAAGCATCTAGACCCCATGTCTGCCACATGAGGTGACTTGGGACCACTGTCCTCTTCATTCCCCACTGGCCTGTTTGAGCTGCCAGCCTCGTTCCCCTCCTTGGTTTCTCCGCCTTCCTGATCCTGGCCTGTTCTCCTTGCTTACAGCCCAGCCCTGCTTGCTTATAACACTCCTACCCACCCTTCAGAATCCTGCTCAGATCTCTATCCTCAAAGCTTTCCAGCAGCTGCCCATGCACTCAGGAGTTCTTTTACATATTAACACTTAAAATAATTCACTCACTGGGGCTGAAGAGATGGCTCAGAGGTTAAGAGCACTGTCTGCTCTTCCAAAGGACCAGGGTTCAATTCCCAGCCCCAAACATGGCAGCTCACAACCATCTGTAACTCCAGTTCCAGGGGGCCCCAACACCCTCTTCTAACCTCTGTGAACACAAGGCTTACAGATGATATGCAGATATACATTCAGGCAAAACAACCATGTATACAAAATTAAAAAAAAAAACAACAGCAACAAATCATCATTTACTTAAAAATCCCAGATCATGAGAAAATCACAGACTACAAGCTCACCCCAGGGCTGGCTCTGGCCCTGGCTTAGTTGTCTCTGTACCCCACAGAGTTACCAGAGGACCTGGAAGAGATAAGTGTTAGTGTGAATACCCTCAGTGAGCCTGTATCAGTCAACTGTCCTGCATCCAGAGGTTGCTATGGTTTGTTGTATTTTTTATTCTTGGGGGTTGGGTAAGTGCACCACAGTGTGCATGCGTGTGGAGGTCAAAGGGCAACTTTGAGGAGTGGGTTCCCTCCTCCCACCATGTTGAGTTGGGGTCTCTCATCTGTTTTCCGTCTCGACATAGGAGTGCTGGCCTTTCAGGTGCCTGCCGCTGCATCCAGCTTTTTAAGTGACTTCTGAGGATCAATAGCACATCATCAGCTTTCTGTGGCAAGCACTTTCACCCCCCTGGTAGATTTTACTTTATGGATTTTTCTAGAACTTGAGCGTTGTAAGAAAGTATGTCCTCCCAGTGCCCACTGAATACACTATAGGAAAGTGTGAGGGTTTGAAAGAATTTCCAAAGCTGCTGGATCTAACCTGTTCGCTTGTTTGTTTTGAGCTAGGATCTGGCTGTGTGGCCCAGGCTGGTCTTGAACTTCTGGACTTAAATGATCCTCCTGCCTCAGCCTCCTGAGTAATTGGGACAAATTATTCTGTTTCTAAAAGGATGCCACTTTCTTTTTTTCTTTATCTTTCTTCTTTCTTTCTTTTCTTTTCTCTTTTTTTTTTTTTAGTTTTTCGAAACAGGGTTTCTCTGAGCTTCGGATCCTGTCCTGGAACTAGCTCTTGTAGACCAGGCTGGCCTCGAGCTCACAGATCTGCCTGCCTCTGCCTCCTGAGTCCTGGGATTAAAGGCGTGTGCTACCACCGCCCGGCAAAGGATGCCACTTTCAAACATTTTTGAGTCACGCACTCCACATCAGAGTTTATCCTTGCTAGAGATAAGTTTAATACCACTATTAATCTTTTAGCACCACTATTCACCACTGATTATGCTAAATCTAGTCTGACCAGCCATGTTCCCCTTTCCATAAACATTTTTGAGGGCCTCTTACTTCAAGCAAGGATGACTCGTAAGGAACAGGAGGCCCTGGACTAGTTCAGGGGCAGGGGTAGGCGGTGGGCCACCTGGGCGGGTTGAGCAGTGGGCACTCACATGTCACTGTCTTTGCAGCTGAGCCCCTGCCGCTGATGGACCTGTGTCGGAGATCCATCCGCTCAGCCCTGGGCAGACAGCGCCTGCGGGACATCGACTCCTTGCCCCTGCCTCAGTCGCTCAAAAACTATCTACAGTACCAGTGAGCAGGGCTGAAGGCCTGCCGTCATCTGTGGTCACACGGCACCTAGCTCCGGAGCGTCAGGATTGTGTCACTGACTTGGAAAAGGAATGCCTGTTGCCACTATGGCTGCCAGGGCCAAACTGCTGCCATCAACCAGGACCAGGAAGTCACCTAGTCAACCAGAGTGTAGAGACCATTTCCTTCTCAAGAGAATGAATAAAACATTTGGCAGGAGACAGCGTCCTGTTCCCCACTGCAGACAGGCCCGGGAAAATTGGCCGGTGGAGAGAAAATAGCTTCTGAATAATGAATGATGGAAACAAGTCCTTGATGGTCCCCTCCCTGCCTGCCCCTGGCCAGGGTAGGGAGATCATCCTTCCGTTTTAAGACTTAGAACCACTTTGAGAGACCAGTCGCCAGGGACCACGGCAGTGCGAAGAACCTGGACTTTCCTCTCTGAGCCGGCTTCCTCAGCCCGTCCTTCCCTCTTCCACCATGGATAGAGTCATTTGGCTGTCCCCGCCCGCCTGTCTATTCAGGGACAGTAGTCTGATGACTTCCCCCAGGGACAGAGCTTATTCTTGGGTATGATCGTTTAAAGTAGCGTTTTGCATTTTGAAGAGGAGTGTATTGAAGATGGCTTTCTCCCAAAGGTGCTAAGGAGGATGGGGGCCTCGGGACCCTGAGTCTGAGACACCATTAGTGTCCAGGACTCTGACCACCATATTCAGGGTGAAGCCTGGCTGTCACAGAGCTTTCTTTGAGCAAATTATTTTTTCACTTTAGAAGACTTCCACAGTTTGTTTCTTGTTTCTTATATGTGTGTGACATGCTGTTTATTTATCAGCTGGGGCCCGTGGTGTGGCTTTGGGACTGGAAGGGTGGGGGTGACACACAGTCTCTGCAGGCTCTGAGACCTATGCTCTCACGGAATGTTGCTGCTGCTGCCGCTGCCTTCGCCTTTCAGCACCACATTCAACGTCTTTGGTGTGTTCCTGATAGTCTCCACCCAGACTTGTCTTTAACTGGAAATCGTCACAGCGTGGGATACCAGAGTCAGACAGCGCAGCCTCCACTTTAATGTGAATGTGACCTTCAAGCAAGGAACATTTCTAATAAAGTTTGTCATTCTGTCCTTGAGCCAGGTGTCAAGTGCTCTTTCATGGGTGTGGGGACCGCACTATCGGCCTGGCTGGTCTGTCCTCAGATCCACAGGCATCATATCTGGGAGGGCCTCTCCATACAGCTTTTCCCTCTGCTGTCCACCGTCCCCCTTTGAGCCCCAGCTCTTGAGATGCTGCAGAGACCTGACGTGGAAGACGACGCTGTGCCCAGGTTCTTCAAAGACTGCCATACCCCCTGATGCTAAGGCTTAGATCTTCAAGGTGACCAGGGCGAGCCAGGGTAAACCCAAACAGACCTGGTACTGGGGCTGAACCTATGTGACCACCAGGGAGCAGTGCAAATGGCTGCAGAGTGAATGAGGAAGAGGTGGGCTGGGCTCTCTGGGGCTGGTGGCTGATTGGCAGTTAGGGGCAGGAAGGGATCAAGGTCAGGACTAGTACAGGATTCATTCAGTAGCATCGGCCACCAATATGCCACACCACAGCAGACCCTGGGGCAGTGCCAGATGGATGTCTTTGTCCTCAGTGGAGACATTTACAGTTGTTGAGAAGCTTAAGGGGAGTGGAGGAGGAGAAGTGAAAGAGTAGTCTCTTGTGTCTGAAGAGCCCATGTGAGACTCACAGTGTCTGTCCACCCCAAGACTGGAGATGGGGAGGAAGAGGCATCCCCAGACTGCAGGCCCTAGGCACCTGCCTGTCTGCTGGCAGCTGCCGCCTCCAAAGCTTTAATCATTGTGGTTGCTAAAGGCAGCTTCCTGCAGAAGCACAACCTCAGGGATAGGATCAGGAAGCTCAGGCACCCTCATTTATACACAGTGACCTTGGGTAAGTCTCTTCCTCCTCTGGACACAGTAGCTAGACCAGGTAGCCAGTGACTAAGGACCTCCCTCTCCTAGCCCCGAGGATCTGAGTCTCCGTACCATCTTCCAGTTTGGGTTCAACTATCTTGTCCTAGCTCCTAAGCCCCCACAATGCCATTCCCATCCTTACTCACCCTCTCACGGTCGGATGAGACCAGCCTTTCTCTCACTACCTCCTCACGTCCCTTCCCAGGCGTGTATCTCCTGACACCAAGGACCCTATCCTGAGTACCTGGTTTGGGTCCCCTCTGTCCTGTAGCCTCATATACCCAGTAGGCTGTGGGTCTCTGGAGGGTAGGGCCTGTGCCTGTACTCACCACCCCATTGTAGATCACACACAGGTCTGCAAAGGCCCGAAGGGGGGCGGGTCGGGAAAAGCGACCTCTGCACACTAGGACACCCGTAGACACTGCAAGGGACATCCTGAAGTGGAGAAGAGGTCCTCCCCGAGATGAAAACTGCACCCCAAGGGCCACCTGGACCGCTTTCCCTCTTGTATCCATTGCCTACAGCACTATCCTGTAGTGATTCGAGGCCACTCCTGCCGGACCTCACAGTTAAGGCGGGGTGGAGGGTTACAGACTACCAGCCAGCAAAGAAGCACTGTGGTGTTTGAAGCTGGAGATAAGGTGAGGTGGGGGCTAGGAGTCAGGTCACAGAAAGTCACTGGGGAGGTACTGAGTCCTGACCAGGAGTTAGATGTGAGAGGAGACAGAACATTCATACATATTTGGATTTTGGTTTCTGACTGCAGCAGCAACGGAAGCAACCATATCCAGGTATCCTTCCATACCTCACAATCATTGTCTGTGAACCATCCTGCCTCTGTGTCCTGGGGTTCTACTCCTGCCACAGGGTTCTGCACATCTCTGTACCCATGGTGGGCTGAATGGGGAAGGCTTGTGTTATATCCAATTCCAGCCCAAAGGCTACCCTCTGGCCTGCTGTGCAGTGGCTGGAGGCAGCTCCCTGGCTCTGTCTAACAAGCTCCAGGACGGCACTGTGACCCTTGCCTTTCCATCACGGCTGCTAACAGACCCCAGGCTACATCAACAACAGAAACCCTCAGTGCATTTTCTTAGGGGAGTGGGAAGAAGGGTACAGCACATACTGTGAGGGGTAGCTCTCCACCCTGAGATACATTGCTCTGTCCTTCCTGTCTTTTGTGAACTGTTGCTCAGACTCTCAACTTACAAGGAATGTCCTGAACATACTTATCTACAAAATTCATGTTCTAGAATCACACAGTCAGGTTTTGTTAATTGTAAAAACATAATGTTTAAGTAAGTTTACACTTTTGTGTTGGGATGCATTCATAGCTGTCCTGGGCCTCGTGCAGCATACAGTCTACAGGTTGGACGTGCCTGGGCCTCATGCAGCATACAGTCTGCAGGTTGGACGTGCCTGGGCATCTGGAGCTTCACTGACACAGCATTTGACTTTCCGTTAACATTTACCCTAAGGACTCTGGCTCCATATGAATCTTGCCACACTTGCCTTCAAGTGACAGACCCCTTTCCAATTTGTTCTTCTCTCTCTAGTCCTTTACAATCACAATCCATATGCCAGTCTAAGATACTCAGATCTGTCATAGTCTCTCCTACCTTGTAAAGATTTTCCCCATCATAGAGCTCGGCAAAGGCATTAAAACGCTGCCTTGGTCTGAAGGAGAACGGCCCTTATAGGTGCACACATCTGAATACTCGGTTCCCAGTTGGTGGAACTGTTTGAGGAGGATTAGGAGGTGTGGCCTTATTGGAGGAGCTGTGTCAGTGGGGGGAGGGGCTCTGAGGTTTCAAAAGCCCATGCTTTCCCAGTAAGTTCTCTCTGCCTAGTGCCTGTGGATCAGGTGTGAGCCCTCCACTACTGTTAGAGCTCTGTGCCTGTTTGCTGCCATGCTCCCCACGATGGTCGTAATGGCTTTACTGCCTGAGACCGCAAGCCCCCATTAAATGCTCTCTTCTTTACATTGTCTTCATCATGGTGTTGTGCCATGGCGATAGAAAAGCAACTAAGACAAACCGGCTGCATGCTAGTCCTGAGGCCCCTGCTAAGTCAGCTGGCTCTTAACTCTCCTGTGAATACATACTTGTCTATCATCAAATATATCATCTTTCGTGCTCAGTCACCTCACAAATGCCTGTCATTCCTTTCTTCCCTTCCAGCCCATGACATGCACACTGACGGACAGTTGCTGAATGTGTCTCCTTGTGAATAGTGTCTCATACAAACCATTGCTCCAGGGACTGATTTCCCTTGGATTGCTGCAGATTATGCCTGGGGGGACGTTTTTATTGGTTTCTTTGCTTCCACAACACTCCAACTGATAACATCTGCCCTCCCATCCCCCTCCCTCTTTCTCTCCCTCCTTCCCCACTGTCTGAATACTCTCTCTGGTTCCGAAATCCCTGAAGACCTCTTTAGCACACATCTGACCCGTTCCTGCTGTCCTTCGCATCCTGCCAACTGTATAAAATGCCAGAACGAAACCTGTGTCTCAGCCTTGCAGTTACCCCTTTTCTTGACAGATCCGAGGCCGATGTGGAGGCCAGCACCTGCAGGTCCTTTTCACCATGGCACAGGCAAGCTCTTTATGAGCAGACAGCTGGGCTTCAGCTGCATCTCTTTTTGCACATAGCAAAAGCCACCCAACAGTTGTGGTAGCTTGCTTATGAACGTGCTTCATGAGTATTTTTTTAGGGATTGCAAAATATTAACTGGACCATTAACCTTGTTCACGAGGCAGACCTTAGGGATCAGTGAGACATGCTACCCATTCTGCACACAGGAAAGGTGCCTACTCCAGAACCTAACCCCAGGACACTCCACTCAGATGACTTAGCTTTTATAACATGCTTTACCATACACCACAGCGATGTGACCATCATAACAGCAAGAAGCTCGCCATCCAGTACCACAGGGGATGCTCCGTTCTAGGTTGCTTCACTGTTGCGCTGATGAAACACGCTGACCGAAGCAACTTGGGAGAGAAAAGGGCATAGGTGTCTTATGCATCACAGTTCGTTACTGAGGGAAGTCAAGGCAGGAACTCAAGCAGGAACTGAAGCAGAGACCATAGTGACATGATGCTCACTGGTTCGTTCACTGGCTTCTGCTCAGCTAATTTTCTTATGCCACCCGGGCCCACCTCCATGGTAGAGGTACTGCCCAGAGTGGGCTAGGCCCACTCCATCAATTGTCAATCAAGACAATGCCCCGGACACATGACCAAGGAGAAATCTGATGAAGGCAGTTCTTCTGTTGAGGTTCCCTCTTCCACATGACTTTAGGTTGCATCGAGCTGAGATTAAAAACTAACCAAGAGCCCCAAAGATGTTGCACTTCACACAAATCAACCTCTGTTGCCCATCTCATCCTTCACTACAGAGTCAGAGAGCTGCTCACCCTCCATTCACCTTTGGTCCTGCTGATCTCTGTTCAGGCGCCAGTTGTGTGGTGTTACTGTGCTTGGGGAGACGTGAACAAATATCTACTCAGTCTGCATGGGGTACTGATGATAGACCAGAGAAATGATTCCACCCCAGTCTAGCTTGGTGAACCAGTGAGCTTATTGGAATTATTGAGAAGGTCATAGGTGAATGGTTACTTACAAGAGCATGGGGGTCTTGAAGGCAATTGTACCACTGAAAATTCTTCCCAGTGTGGGCAACAACTCACAAAAGCTGCATCCAAAGAACTCCTTGCACACACACACACGCACACACACACACACACATGCATACATGCTTATGCATACACATACACACCATAAATAAGTAAAATTTTTATAAAAGGCAAAATAATGATATACTGCACATCTACCAGATTTAACAAGCTTGCAGACTGTCCCATCCAAGAGCTACAGAATACATATTCTTTTCAGTAGCTCTTGGGACACGCTTCAAAGTACATTATACTTTAGGCCATGAAGCAAGTCTTGGCAAATATAGAAAACAGAAATGATTTCTTACATTGGATCTGATCATAATGAGATGGAATGAGAAATCAACATCACGGAGAAGCAGATCAAAGCGTGTGGAAAGCGAAAAACTTATCACAAATAATCGGAGTATTGTTAAAGAAGTCCTGTGATCAAATGAAAATGTAATCAGAATCTATGAGCTCCAGCAAAGCAAAACGGAGGA